GTACTGCGTCATATTTCACATGTGTTCTTGGTACAGCGTCATATTTGACACATGTTCTGGGTACAGCGCCATATTTGACATGTGTTCTGGGTACTGCGACATATTTGACATGTGTTCTGGGTACTGCATCATATTTGACATGTGTTCTGGGTACTGCATCATATTTGACATGTGTTCTGGGTACTGCGTCATATTTGACGTGTGTTCTGGGTACTCTGTCATGTTTGACATGGGTTCTGGGTACTGCGTCATATTTGACATGTGTTCTGGGTACTGCGTCATGTTTGATATTGTTTTTGAGTACTGTGTCATGTTTGACATGGGTTCTGGGTACTGTGTCATATTTGACATGTGTTCTGAGTGCTGCGTCATGTTTGATATGTGTTCTGGGTACTGCGTCATGTTTGATATGTGTTCTGGGTACTGTGTCATGTTTGATATGGTTTCTGAGTACTGTGTCATGTTTGATATGGTTTCTGAGTACTGCGTCATGTTTGACATGGGTTCTGGGTACTGTGTCATATTTGACATGGGTTCTGCGTCATATTTGACATGTGTTCTGGGTACTGCGTCATGTTTGATATGTGTTCTGGGTACTGTGTCATGTTTGACACGTGTTCTGGGTACTGCGTCATGTTTGATATGGGTTCTGGGTACTGTGTCATGTTTGACATGGGTTCTGAGTACTGTGTCATGTTTGACATGGGTTCTGGGTACTGCGTCATATTTGACACATGTTCTGGGTACTGCGTCATATTTGACACATGTTCTGGGTACTGCGTCATATTTGACACATGTTCTGGGTACTGCGTCATGTTTGATATGGGTTCTGGGTACTGTGTCATATTTGACACGTGTTCTGGGTACTGCATCATATTTGATATGGGTTCTGGGTACTGTATCATATTTGACACGTGTTCTGGGTACTGCGTCATATTTGACATGGGTTCTGGGTACTGCGTCATATTTGACACGTGTTCTGGGTACTGCATCATATTTGACATGGGTTCTGGGTACTGCGTCATATTTGACATGTGTTTTGGGTACTGCGTCATATTTGACATGTGTTTTGGGTACTGTGTCATGTTTGACATGGTTTATGGGTACTGTGTCATGTTTGACATGGTTTCTGGGTACTGTGTCATGTTTGACATGGTTTCTGGGTACTGCGTCATATTTGACATGTGTTTTGGGTACTGTGTCATGTTTGACATGGGTTCTGGGTACTGTGTCATATTTGATATGATTTCTGGGTACTGCGTCATATTTGATATGTGTTCTGGGTACTGCGTCATATTTGACATGTGTTCTGGGTACTGCATCATATTTGATATGATTTCTGAGTACTGTGTCATGTTTGACATGGGTTCTGGGTACTGTGTCATATTTGATATGATTTCTGGGTACTGCGTCATATTTGACATGTGTTTTGGCTACTGTGTCATGTTTGACATGGTTTCTGGGTACTGTGTCATATTTGACATGGGTTCTGGGTACTGCGTCATATTTGACATGTGTTCTGGGTACTGCGTCATATTTGACATGTGTTCTGGGTACTGTCATATTTGACATGGGTTCTGGGTACTGCGTCATATTTGATTTAGGTTCATTTGATAATTGTTTCTGTAGAATTCAAGAATACACCATTTTTTTCACAGAAATTTGTATGATTTGGAGATTTAGTGGCTTATGAGAAAAAAAAATCTTTAAATCTGAAAGTCTTTACGATATGTATGACTGCTATGTGTGCTGTCAGTATGAAAATAAATTCAGAATGTTTGTATGCTGTATGTATATTTTGATTGCATGGTCTGCAGCATGTATTAAACATTAGTGTGGGAAAAGTACTCCAACCCTGTCTGCTTCATACTGTAAAATACTTTATTTTAGCTGGATTTAATTTTCGCTTAAAAGACTTTTTTGGTGTTTTGCATGGAATTTATTTTCACTGATTTTTGACAAGTTGAATGTAAAATATAGGAAAAAGGTATATTCGCTGGATTTTATTTTCACTGAATCATTCCTTCAGCGAAAATCAGTTCCAAGTGAAAATAAAGTATTTTACAGTAGTTCTTATATAGTATATACTAGTAGTATTTCGGTAGTTCATATTACTAGGTTTTGGTTAAAGCACCTTGTATGTTGCTGACAATTAAGACAACATTCCAGGAGGCATAATCCTTGAATTCCACATGAAAAAATGTCTAAAGCTCGGCAGGACAGAATTCCTATGTACTCAAGGACAAAATTCCACAAATAGTCAATTCCACAGGTCTCCTTCCTCTAACAGGTGGAAGAGCCAAAACTGAAGATAGTCACATTAACAAATCTGATATTATTTATTCTTCCAGAATACATTCACAAATGCGAATAAATTATTAGAAGCTGCTGAACACTTGGCGCAGAGTGGTGAGTGTGATCCAGAAGATATCTATCAAGTAGCCAGGCTTTTGGAAGACCGGATACATGATTTTGTGGACCGGACAGAAAGAAGGAGGCAGCTCCTTCATATGTCAGTGACCTTTCACACTCATGCCAAAGAGGTAAGCCTCCACTCCTTTCAATTCAAGGACCTGTTCAGTTAATAAAGTAAATCTATTTCAGTTTCAACAACTGATATTTATTTAATAAGTAGCCAATTGGACCTAAATTAACAAAGAAATCATACAAACACACAAAACCCCTTTTATATATTCATATTAACTGCAAGGATTAAACCCAAACGTTTTAGAAAATATGGAAAAACTTGTGTAAGTTTATTTTCTGTGTGAGTTGTTACAAAAGCTGCCTGTGGTAACCTTTGTGACTGTTCATCATCTCTTGTTCTCTTAGTTGCAATTGTGGTTTACCGAATTGAAAGAGAACTTGGAATCGGACGAGCTGTCAGAGACGGTAGAAGGAAGCGAAGATTTACTTGACAGATTCGAACATCGGCAGCAGATAACGGTGGATGCTTGTGTTAATACAATAAGCGAGGGACAAAATTTAATAGATGCATTGAGGTAAGAGAGAGTGTTTATCGTTAATTCTCTAATTTTAGTGAATATTTTTGTTGTTTTTTTGGTAAAAAGTGATATTCTAGACATCTTTTAAAATCCGCAAGTCCGATTGCTTTGATATTACATATATAGGTACTACATGTGGACCTCTCTCAGATTTGTTCATTTTGTAATGATATCTTTAATTATCTAATTTTAGTGAATATTTTTGGTGAAAAGTGATATTTTTGACTTCTTGTTGAAAACAGCAAGTCTGATCGCTTTGATACTATACCTATCGTTCATTTTCTAATGATATCTTCTGTTCTTTAATTGAAATGTGCATTGCTAACAGCGGAGCTACCTCAGCTGACAGCCTGCTTGTTTATTTCTTTGTATTTTTCCATCCAGTCTCAGTGTTGAGTTTTACTTTGTTAATGCTTCTCATTTTGTAACTACTCATGTAATTTGAATATTAATATTTAATTTGTTGGAACAAATGTTTTGACACAATAGAATTATTCAAAAACTTGGTGTTCATCTCATCCTTTTCAAATTTTTTCCTTCCATCCCAGGCATGTTGCCATGGAGACTGGTAACTCTCATCACAACGCCTATGGGCACATAGATGGAATTATCCATAATCTGGAGGAAAATAGACGTGAGCTGGATAAATTATGGGCTTCAAGAAAACTTAAACTTGAACTGTGTTTACAACTTAGACAATTTGAAAGAGAAGCTTTAGAGGTGAGTGTGGCAACCTTTGTATGCGCATGTTTGTTTTGATGGGTGTATTGTTAATTCAAAATTATGGAAAAATTAAAGTTGTTTTGTACATGGAATCAAGTTCTCTCTCGCAAAAAAAAAAGAATTATATAAAACTAACTATAGAGATTTTTTTTTCAAGTCTGGCTATATTATAAGTTATTTTTTTGTTACGCTTTTAGGTCACTCAACATGTGGCCATGAACATTAATGAAGTGATTTTATGCTACATTTATAAATATTAATTGTATAATTTATTTATTCTATTTAGAAGCACATATCCAATAGTGCATTTGTTGGATACTGAATCATTAAAATATTACTTATTTGACCATAGTGTCTAATAATAGTGCAAATTTGCTATATTTTGTCCATTAAACGTCAAATGGGAAAACCAGAATAGATATGTACGACCGTTAAACAAGAATTACCAACCTGGTTGCGTGACTTGAGGTTTTAATAGTATTGTTCTTGTCATTTTAAACTCGTCACATCAATATTCAACTCTGGGGATAAGAATAAATATACACTTCCAGGTGTGAGCAGAAATGTAATTGAAATAAAAGAACAAAAGTCATAGTGTTGTAGTGATGCAAAAATATTTTGGAGTATTTCCACCCCCAATAATGTGGTATTCACATTAAGATTTAAGGGTATCTCAACATTGAGTTATACAAATGAAAATTCAAATTCAAACCCAAATCGTTCATTTTTAACTACAAACATTCGGTCCACGCCATTCATGCATTACGCCAAATCTTACAGTGAATGGAAAAGTCTGTATCAAAATTCAAAACTTGCTCTGTATAATCTTGGATGAGTGTGTAGTTGCTTAGTAACTGTTCACTTTCCTCCACAGCTTTCCACCAGACTTGAGGTATGGACAACAGAGATGCAGAACACAGAGCTTGGTCCTGATATCACGGCTGCCGAATATTTATTACAGATGCATGTTGAGAACGTGTCACATATACAAAATCAAACGTTTGACCTTCTGCAGAGGGTAAGTATGAGGTGGTTACAAATTACATATGGGTGTAAACTGATCATTCAACCTATTTACAAATTGTGTATGAACTTATATGAGTGTAAATGCCCTTTATGGTGGACTGAGCTCAGTCTGGACCATTGCATAACTTGTGTATGAGCTTTGTATGGGTGTAAATGTCCTCTATGGTGGACTGAGCTCAGTCTGAACCATTGCATAACTTGTGTATGAGCTTTGTATGGGGTAAATGCCCTCTATGGTGGACTGAGCTCAGTCTGGACCATTGCATAACTTGTGTATGAGCTTTGTATGGGGTAAATGCCCTCTATGGTGGACTGAGCTCAGTCTGGACCATTGCATAACTTGTGTATGAGCTTTGTATGGGGTAAATGCCCTCTATGGTGGACTGAGCTCAGTCTGGACCATTGCATAACTTGTGTATGAGCTTTGTATGGGGTAAATGCCCTCTATGGTGGACTGAGCTCAGTCTGGACCATTGCATAACTTGTGTATGAGCTTTGTATGGGGTAAATGCCCTCTATGGTGGACTGAGCTCAGTCTGGACCATTGCATAACTTGTGTATGAGCTTTGTATGGGGTAAATGCCCTCTATGGTGGACTGAGCTCAGTCTGGACCATTGCATAACTTGTGTATGAGCTTTGTATGGGGTAAATGCCCTCTATGGTGGACTGAGCTCAGTCTGGACCATTGCATAACTTGTGTATGAGCTTTGTATGGGGTAAATGCCCTCTATGGTGGACTGAGCTCAGTCTGGACCATTGCATAACTTGTGTATGAGCTTTGTATGGGGTAAATGCCCTCTATGGTGGACTGAGCTCAGTCTGGACCATTGCATAACTTGTGTATGAGCTTTGTATGGGTGTAAATGCCCTCTATGGTGGACTGAGCTCAGTCTGGACCATTGCATAACTTGTGTATGAGCTTTGTATGGGGTAAATGCCCTCTATGGTGGACTGAGCTCAGTCTGAACCATTGCATAACTTGTGTATGAGCTTTGTATGGGTGTAAATGCCCTCTATGGTGGACTGAGCTCAGTCTGAACCATTGCATAACTTGTGTATGAGCTTTGTATGGGTGTAAATGCCCTCTATGGTGGACTACATGTGTGCAAAAAACTTGTGTGTGAACAATTTACATATTTCTTACAGGGTCAGGAGTTGTACCAAGTACTGGAAACGACTGGTGTGCAATTAATGGCCGACAGTCAGTATGATGCGCAGACGAGAGTACAAGTGCTCCTAGAATTTCTACATGAAAAACATTTAGACTTAGAAGATGTAGCTGAATTGAGACGAGTCAAATTAGAACAGTGTGCACATCTTCGACACTTTGAAGCCGATGCTCAGCAGGTAAGTTTTGTTACGTACATATATAGTTGGAACATCAACTTTCACTAAGTAAACAACAAAGTAAATAACAACATTCTATTTGTTCTAGACAACTCAGAACTTGTGTGAACTCTTGTATCCAAATTTAAATGTAATTCATTCTAAGCACGACTGATTAAGGGTTAGTGCGTTTGAGCATACCATCTACGGCATATATAGAGCTATGCCATAGCACTACTAGTACACCCCACCATTTGCTCGTATGTAAAGCCTCTCAGTTCAGTTTCCATCCACCCACATGCTATAAATGAACGCTCTCAATTTCAACCATTTTTGTTTCACCAGAGAGGGGGCTATACTAGGAAAGTAAAGTATGTGTTACAATAATAATGTGGTTATATTATATGCTCCATATATCAGGTGCTTGGTTGGATTCGCAATGGGGAAGCCATGCTATCAGCGACAATCATTTTACCAACGTCATTAAAAGAGGCTGAAGAGTTACAGAAAGACCACGAACAATTTAAAGTTGCAATTGAGGTAAGAATACAGACATGTGTATCAAGTTTAGTGCCCTCTACAGGCAGAAATCTTTATGATTTTGTTTTTATGAAGATATTTCCTTGTCTGACACTTAACTCTGGGCATTGTGAAATACTTCAAAATAAACAAAGGAATCAGTTATTGGGAACGTTTTTGCTCTCAGATATTGTATTTGTTCTCAGATATTGTATTTGCTCTTTAAGACGTGCATCTCTTATGTTAACAGTTGTTTGGTATTACATTTTTCATCATAATATGTAGATTTTAGAAACCTAGTAGAGTGGATTACTGTTATGTTTCTCTGATACGTAAGTTTAATGATTGTGTTTTGTTTCTCTAGAAAACCCATTGTAGTGCAACTCAGCTGCAACAGAAGGCTGACACTCTGATTTTGAGTAATCACTATGATCCTGAGACCATTCGACTTTGTTCGGACAACATTGAACATCGTTGGCAACAGCTAATTATGCGAGCTGAGGACCGACACAAACTTGTAACGGCTGCTGTGAATTTCTACAAAACCTCAGAACAGGTGAATGTTTTGTTTGTAGAGTTTATTTCAATGCTTTGATGTACTGTAGCGTTTAGTTGAAAATAAAGTAGAACAGTGATTTAACAAGTCCTACCTTCTTCTTGGTGTTTTTTATTTGATGATTTTACATCTTTGTTGATGGGGCAGTAATTAGTGAAACTCGTCGTGACTTCCTGTTATATGTAGCAAGTGAAATGATGGCTGTTACAAAATATTCTTTCTGTAAAGTTTCTAACTAACTTACCAAATTTCCCACAGGTGTGTTCGGTGTTAGAAAGCCTGGAAGTTGAGTACAAACGTGATGAGGACTGGTGTGGTGGAGGAGAGAAAGGACCAACCAGCGAACAGCACATAAACCAAAAGATCACTAAGCACCTTGAGCAGAAGGAAGCCTTTTTGAAGGCCTGTACGTTAGCCAGACGAAACGCTGAAGTCTTTCTGAAATATGTGAATCGAAGCAACTATAATCAGCCTGGGACAATTATCAACAGGGGTAGTACTGGCCCTGAGATAACCGTCAAAGGTAGGAAAGATTTCTCCTGCTTAATGGTATATATTCTATATGCTTTATTATGGCCCCAATTAAATATGCGATTGTATGAACTTTAACTACTTCTCATTTAGATTATTTTCCTGCCAAAAATTTGAGGCAAAAATATTGAAGGTTTGAGTTTGCTTAGTATTCTCAACGTGGTGGCCTCTGGTATCTCTTTTAAAAATAACATGACATTGGACTATATGTGTGGAAGGTTACACTAAAAAAAAAAATGTACTTGACAATAGTTCTTTTTTTGTAAAATACGCCATCGCAATTTCTCAACTATTTTTGAAAAACAAATTCAAAAAATGGAAAAGTCGCAAAAGGTTGCCTAGTCGGAATCCTGCTTAGAAGATTTGAATTATTTACTTTAATCTTCCATTTATGAAAAACCAATTTTATAAAGAACTCTCAACTTTACAATAACCCTTTAAACATCATTGTCAACTTTCATCACGTTTTTCTACATTTGTATCACAATGTTGATCAAGACTTGCAGCCAATGTATAATTATGTTCATTTCATCCAAAAGTTCATTTAATCAAAATCAGCAAAGAAATTGCATACTAAGGTGACACACACATCATACTTTGATTGAAACAAAATTTCAAATTTTCACTGCTAAAGTATTTTATGAAAATTTGTCTTTCAAAATTAAAGTAGTAGCTAGCTGATAAAACAAATAATTATAAATAGTCAATACACAAATAAATAAGTCAAGGAATGACCTCCATATTGTACCTGCCACCCCTACCAAATCATAATAGTATATGCCAGCATTTGTCATTAGGCTTTTCTCATTAGTATTAGAGGTGGAAAGTTCACCTATTGGTTATAAGTGGGACAGAAATATGATTTAGTTTTATGGGGCTGCATTTCTTAATTACTCAAGATGGCTGGCGGAGATTGAAAGTAATGTACAGAATTAGGACACCGAGTGTGTCTTTACTTTCGGTGGCTACTCTGCATGTGTGTCTGTAGGTTTTATCTGGCTGGTGTAAAGTCCTTGATCAAATGGTATTACGTAAGAAGTATTGTTATACATTGTTTTAGTGTTTGTCATCATTTTGTTGTCTGCATTTAGTCAGTCATGATTTACTGTTAGTTTTCAGGAGATATTTTTGCATCATTGATGGGACGGTAGGGTACATTTTGTTTCCTTTTTAATCATTCTGTTCACATTCATTGCATTGTTTACTTCTTTCTCAGGTAGAAAAGCCGTTGCTGTCATTCCATTACACTAGTATCCCATAAAAACAACCTGGTGGTTATAAAATGCTGACTTTACATAAATTGATAATCTATTAACATTGTCCCTTTGCAGTTATTAGTATATGTCTTCCATACATGACATGCGTCTCGACATGCACGGCTACCACTCAATATTATGTTCAGTATCTACTATATTATGCACGGGGACTGAGTAATATTAAGACCCTTTATCAAAAATTATGAAAATATCAATATTGGTGTTAACTTCTGGGTAATGAGGCTTGATCCATGAAGTACTTACTTGAAAATTTAATGATGTGAAGAAATTTCCTACTTTCACATCTACCCTTAGGTCAAAAAAGTTCTTGCAATTAGGTTCAACTTTAATAGCGTTTTATTTGCTCAATTATTTGCAGGCATCCTGGAGAAGTTATTGAATTTAGAGAATTCTGTGTTGGAACATTGGACGCATAAAAAGAAGAAGCTCGATCAATGTCAACAGTATGTGCTTTTTGAGAAAAGTGCAAAACAGGTAAGATTGCAGTCATGGTGTTGATCTAACTCTCTCTCTCTCTCACTCTCCTCTTTTAGTTAACATCTCTGCCATTTGGATTTCAAATTAGATGAGAAAAATTCAGAAGCTGAATTACATGCGACAGTTACAATTGGTATTTTTTGTCGACCATTTTGTTTTTAAGAATTCGCCTTCTAGTGATGAGTAGGAGTTTGTTTATTGAGTCATTTGATTTTTGTTTCATCAAATTTAAGCTGCATTGTATCAAATATGTGATATATAGATATAGATATACTGTCCCATGTTGCCATAGAAACCAATCAGTGCCAGACCTTTCTAACCAAAAAACCTGTTTACAAATATTTTTGCAGTTTACTCTGATATCAATCAAAAGTTTGGAAAGACTTGTGTATATATATTCAAATCTACGCTGCTATGTTTTGATTTAACAGAAAACTATTTCCTGACAAGGCAATAGGATGTTGAACAGGATTAACTTAGAAAGTGAACGAAAATAAAAAAAAAAATTGGTGAATTGATTAGTATTGTGCCTAGACATTACAATTCTTTTTCTTTTTTCAATGACTCTACATACCTTGACTTTCTCCTCAAATATCAGATTGATTTTCTTCCCAAATATCAGATTGATTTTCTCCCCAAATATCAGGTCGACTTTCTCCCCAAAATAATAATTGTTCCCTCCCTAATTTTTTTGATGCATTGAGTTCAGTAACCATGTTATTATGGTGACCTTTAAAACAATGATACATGTAATGACCCTATAAATAAACTCAATATTATACAAGAGGGCTGTCAACGACATTGAACAACAGTAATCTGTCTATACTCCTATTATATGAATTCACATCAAGGAGAAATGTGGTCCCTCAATTGTCCCCAGACGCCTAACTTTACTTACTAAGGAGTCATCGTGGCTCCAATGCTTTATCATGGCGACATTTCTTTCTTTCCATGCTACTCATCTTCATATCACATATGCTTCACAAGATCTTATTTTGTCTCCATCATTTTCAACAATGCCATCTCTTCTCTATTCTCCTCATTATCTCTCTCTGAATCTTTCTCTTTCTCCCATCCTCATTCTTCAAACATTGTATGTGTCCCCCTTTCTTTGACTTTATGACAGGAGCTTACATTTCTGTTGCTGGAAATTCATCTACATGGTTACTACATTTTCGTACGTTGTGTCAACTATGCAGGCTATCAGCCAGGAATTTTGAACTGCCAGTCCAAAACAATTCAACTTCATGAAAATGTTGATGGTTTTCAAGATATTTTGGTAAAATTATCAAAGAACAATTGAAAAAAAAAAGGGGAAAAAAGATCCAGTCCAAAGTCAAAGTTGCCAGTCTGTTTGGTGGGTGAACTGGTGGCTGGCTAACACCCTGTTGCTATGGCTGCACATCTCCCCTTTTTTTCAAAGAATCTATATTTGCTCTGATAGTAGCATGTGCGTAACATACATGTAAATGACAGATACATGTCGAGGGTAAAAAACAAGTACCGGGGTAATCATAATAATCTAGTTTATAATGAAGGCATATGTGCTTGTAACACAGAAATTACGGTATTTCGATCATTGTATTTGCTCTGTCAGTAGCGCATACACGTGTGTAAATTTCAGGTGTGTTTATGGTCATATTTTAATGATTCTGCAAACAATAAATGAAATCTTTGGTTTATGTTCACTTCTATTGCGCTTCTAACAGATTAAATACTGTACATGACTACCTTCCTCACTTTATGATAATTTTCAAATGCTGTATTCCTATATCAACCATTCTCAGTTGAACACTTGCCCCTGTGGATCCTTACCAAAGTTTACCTGAGGTAATTTTCTGTTAGTGTATAAATCGTATTTCAATACTTATCCCCAGGTACATACATGTATATTGGCGCATGGAGTCATCTTGATCTTAGTTTCCTGATGCGACATACTTAAATAAGTACATTTATAGTTTCCGGCCATTTGATTTCATTTTACAAGCTTGCTAACTGTATTTCATATTTATATGGTTGTTTCTCAGTGATACCAATCATTTTGGATTTCTCTCCTAATTTTGTTGTTGTTGTTGAAAGAGGTTATATAAATAAAGTATACAATTCTTACGTCATACAGATTATCCATAAAGCATACACCAGGAACAGACAGCTTTTTGATATCTGTCCAAATTAATACCGACTTTAAGTAAAGTACACTGTACCATACCATGTGAAAGCAATACATCAAAAAGTACATCGATCTTCTAATCTTTAGAGATTAAGTGTTGAGGAATCAGGATTTTCCAGACTGAAACTATCTTTTATCCTTTAGATTAAATTACACAATGTATCAAAAGTGTGTTTGCATGTACTGTGCTTTTCAGGCAGTCAGGTGATTTCATTATTTTTACTGGTCACACTTAGCTGAAGCGAAATTATCTATCCTAGCCCTCGTCATCATCCTCAACAGACATCCATACTTAAATAATTAAACCATATGATGGTGAATGTTCTTAAATAGACTGTTAGCAAATTTCAATTTCCTTACTTTTTGTTAGTGTGTCAAACTTTGTCATTGCTTGCTATTAGTATTAATTTGTATGCATGGAGTAATGGTTAGCTAGTGAAATTGTTGACAAAAAGTTTCAAAAACTTTAAATTAATTTCTTTTACGCAATCGTACGTCAGTTGAGAGATTACTAGTATCTGCTATCTATTCTGAGAAATGAAACTGTTCTTTCTGTCAATATGCTTTGTACTATTCCTCGTACTCATATTAATCACTATCTTGTCACATGTTTTCAATTTACCACTTGGCTTTTATTGCTTTTCAGTTTTTGCGTTCGCCACCATAAATTGGTACGTGTAATTTCGCATTGCACCAAATGTTTCTTACCGTTTATCTCCCTGTAGGCATTAGATTGGATCTATGATACCGGTGAGTTTTATCTTTCTACGCATACCAATGTTGGTGAGAGTGCCGAAGAGACCGAGTCGTTACTCAAAGAACACAACGAATTCAAAGGAACTGCTAAGGTGAGATGAATCACAAATAATCTGAATTTGAATCAAGTGCAGGATTGGATTATATGGAAAGAGAGTTTTGTGAGGATATAATTTTTGAAATTCTGTGCAGTTGAGTTGAGAGAAGTTTGTCTGTGTGTCTGCACTCATCGATAGATTACAAATTCAAACAAATATGAAATGGGAAAACCAATTGCATTATCATCATGAATCTATGATCGTACATCTGTGTAACGTTCTATCAATTTCCAGACTGTCAAAAGACTATCAGACAGTATTAGTTGCTGTTGTTTTGTTTTGCAAAGATTTTGGATTTTTTTTTTCTTGCTATATTCAAGGTTTGATTTCCTGGGCATGTTTCATGGTTGTAATGTTACTAAGCCTGATTACCTAAACGTGGGTCTATTTTACAACTCGTCCGTTTTTGCATGTTGAATATATTCAAGCTTGAATGTTGTAGCCTAGAATTATTTTTCAATTATACGTACGTATAAAATTGGGACAAAACTACCGGTATATTTTGTCCATTTTGAGTGTATGAAACTAAAACATTTTATTTTATTTTATGAAAACTTTATAAACTGTCAAATACATAATCAATTTGTGCGATACAAAACTGAAGCTGGTATAGTAAAAATAACTGGTTAAACTCTGTATTTTTTCCTGACTGGAAGTGAACCCATGTCCATATGGACCTCCCTTTGCGTGCATGGTAGCTTAGCAACCAGGAAACCTCAGGAAACAGCTCTATTATAAGAATAATTTTGATAACTGTCATCTTTGGAAAAAACCAAAATCAACTTCTTCCTATACAATATTTTCTCATAATAAGTAGAAAAATGTCTAGTTTGCTTAGCTGTCGTGAGGTGATTCATATTCTTACGGGCTTCCACTTCCTGGTTCCTGAAATGCAATATTGATTGCTCCTTCCTGTCAAACCAATCAACCCACTCCAACAGTGGAGTATCTGCTCACTTAAAAAAAACATACTTTATCAGGTATATCAATATATTGTGATGATGGCAACATTGGCTGAGTTAGCTCATTTATTGGTGAGTTGAAGGGTGATGGTGTTAGTGCCATGCATCCTCAGTTTTGTTTTTCACAAACATACTAAGGGGGTTTTGTTTGTTTTTGCTAAAAGGTTAAATGATTAATTATGTAAAGAAGTACCATTATTTTTTTCTGGCAATAGGGATTTCAAATTGGAGGTTCAAAACATAGGTAATAATAATATAGCAAGTAATAATTTTCATTTCCTTGTTGAGTTCAATCGGCCACATCCCAAAATGAGATAGGACTTAAAATTGAAAACATGTCACTGTGAATCACTCGTTCAATATTTCAACGTAAACTCCAATTATTGTGAAACACTTCAAATGTGTTTACACATGTATACTTCTGGTAGTTACAGAGACTTGTAGAATGTCATGAAAGCACAAATGTTGCATAAGTAGGTGAAAAGTAACCCACTTTAAAAAGGGGAATACAACATCATGACGTCTTCCAAGCAGACGGAGGCCAACCAATCAGTGACTGAGTACTTAACTAATCATGGGATAAAATGTTTTAAATTGATTTCTATATAAGCTGGAGCAGGATAATTACGCATAACATCTATAAAGATGTAAACATGTAATTATTTATTAAATTGGAATAAGTCTGATCGATCAAAAAATTCAGAAATTATCAACATCATCCCAAATCTATGGCTTATTATGGTTTCTAGCCTTCCTAGAAAATGTTTTCAGGAAAAAATATAATTTCCATTGTTGTTAAATTTTGCCTTTTCCTGACAGTTTCTCCAAAAGTTGTCTCTTGCGAAATTTTAGATAGTTTTATTGGTAAATTTACAATTACGAAATTTGTGTTGTCTCTTATTGCAACTCTTCTCTATGATCAGCTCGTGTACATTATATATATTTTATTTTTGCTTGGAATTTATTTTCGTTTTTTTTTTTTGCTGAAGGGGTGATTCAGTGGAAAAAAAATTTACATTCAACTTGTCAAAAAAAAAAATTCCATACAGCGAAAAATTAATTCCAGCTAAAATAAATTATTTGATAGTGCATTTTAAATATGAATCAAACCATGAAAATAATTTTAATTTCAGACATGTTTGTCCAACAATAATGAGAATACATAAATTTATCGCTATTAGAAGCTTATCTCCAATAGTAGGACAGATAAACAAAAAAATTGTATTTATTGTAAATGATTGAGATGTACCGTATCTCATTTTGATCATGCACACACACTGATATGTGCTACCAATGGAGCAAATTTATTTGAAGAAAGAAAACAAAGTGAAAAATTGTTTTCAAATCTTTCAAATGAGCAATATTATAACATTTGCACAATTATTTTCAAGTATTGCAGTTCTTACGCAGTGCAGTACATGTAAACAAACACTGCATTTTGCATGTGATCATCTGACCCCTGACCCTTATCAAACATGATGCGAAATGACGACCAATATTTTCTCATGAACCAAATGAATCTTTTTTTGGCATGCAAACTACATTGTTCTTTTATGAATATTACTGGGAGTGTTATTTCCGTACATTTGTATTTCACTTCGCCAACCACCAACACCTACTCTTTAAACTAACATAACACGAAATATGTCATGTGTAACCCAATCTGATAACCTACCTCACTATCAAGGATATGATTCACCCACGTACCCTGGTAACCTTATCACCCCTACATACTGAATGGTAAAGTCCACTCAAATAACATGCTTGTAACACCTGTAGAATTGTACTGAACTGTTCTATTGTATATTTTAGTTGCAATAATGTGATTTTTATAATTTTTTATTTTTAAACCTTCTAACTTAAATATCAGCGATAGCAGTTTTTTTTTTGTCACTTCCCTAAACATTGGTTTAATTTCGGTAACTGTAAATATGCAAAATATAGATATATATAGAGAGTACAAGGTCTTGGACCTAATGCTATAATTGTTAGCAGTCTGTAGGGATATCAGGATTTTAACTATTGTGTGTAAACATAGATTAGATTCTGGTGTTGTAATAAGGTAAATATTTGCCAAACATTATGTCATTGACATCCTGTCTAAAACAACACAATTCCATCACCTTGTTCCGACCAAGCCCCTTTCTGGCTGATGTCCCTTAATTAATTTACATGTTGATCCTACTTCCTGGAGGTCAGTCGTTTTCAATAACCATCGACACACTGTACAACAAACTGCTTGTTTTGATATGTCTAAGAAGAATCATGCTAAGGTAGTTTTATTTGTTTCCAATTTGAATTTTAAATTCATGGCTTTTTAATGAAACACATTTTGAACACCAAAATTCTTACCTGCCTACTTGTTGATGCAGTTTTTATGTATTTTTCAATAATTTATTGTTAGTTAATTTTGGATCAAATTAAAAAATAAGGCTATGTAAAGAAACAAAATAAAAAAATCTCAGGTAAAATATTCTCATCTATGACAGTGTCAGTGTACTCACGCAAGTGTTGTGTAATACTATATGTGTTACTGTAAAACTGATACTGTGGAATACTTTATTTTTGCTTGGAATTAATGTTTGCTATTTTCACTGAAGGAATGATTTAGTGAAAATAAAATCCAGCGAATATACCTTTTTTCCTATATTTTACATTCAACTTGTCAAAAATCAGTGAAAATAAATTCCATTCAACAAAAATTAATTCCAGCTAAAATAAAATATTTCACAGTATAACTTTGAGTCCAAGATGGAAGAGTTTTAATTTTTTCAGCAGTGATCATAGCTTCTTCAACATACTGTGTCACATCAACTTTAACCTTTTCACAACCAGTTCCCTCTTTTCATCACAAATTCACAAAATAGTCCCGTTTATAGTCTGCACTTTCCTTCTGACGATTGGGACAAAAATAGACAAATTTCTTCAGTAAAAACTGAAAACTAACTCAAATTTTGTCTGTTGGCTTCTATATTCAGGTTCATTTCCTGAAATATAGAATATAAAAAAAAAAGTGCAGACAAATTTGGGCGAGAAAGTCTGGTGGTGAAAAGGTTAAAGGTCCTTCTGGAGAACAGCTTCAGTTCCCTTCTTGTGAACACCCTTAGTATTGTTGCCACACAAATTTTGCTTCAACAGTGATATTGCTGCGTATATTGGGGCAAATGGACATCTTGTCTCATTGGCTTCTGATATTGACACTGGTTTATTTTGTCAAATGTACCAAAAATTAAACCTTGGTACAGACAAAATTAACATTGTCTTCAACAATGAAACTGACCTTGGTGTGTATTTTTCAGGAAACACGAGAGAAAGTAAAACTACTCATACAACTAGCGGATAGTCTTGTTGACAAGGGACACTCACATGCCAACAGTATCAAATCATGGGTGGACACCGTAGACCAACGTTACAAAGATTTCTCGCTGCGAATGGACAAATACAGAGCCAATTTAGAGAGTGCTCTGGGCCTAACTACAGAGGTAAGATACTGCGATGACCAGCTATACATTATGCGTATGTTCAGCCTGGTTTAATCAGATTTTGATGTTCACAGGGTCAGATTTGATCTGATAAAATGCCTCTGATAGGATTAATCTCACTGCCTAAAGTCAAATCTGAAGAGACACAATTTGATATTCCAGAAATCCCAAGGTGTTGATTTTCATTCGATTTATCCGACGGCTGACTGAACAATCTGTAAAGCTAACCAGCCTACTGTATAGTGAAATTAAAGAACACCAAAGGAAAATTTATGTTGGTAGATTGCAGTTCTGTGGATTCAAAAATAACATGCATATTAATGATTATATTTTTGAGTTAATCATTTCACCACCATTTCATCACAAATATTGTCGTTTATAATCGGTACTTTCCTTCAGAAGATTGGGGACAAAAATAGCCAAATTTTTTGAGTAAAAACTTAAAATTGACTCAAATCTTGTCTGTTGGCTCCAAAATTTGGGTTCATTCCCAGAAACATTGAAGAATGCAATAAAAAAGTGCAGAAAAATGAAAGAAAAGAATAAAGTGCAACAACATAGCACAACTTGCAGTTGAATTTCTTGTAAACAAATTATTTGACATGCATTGTGTATGACACATTGTAACCTGTTATTCAAATTAATTACTATTGATCACTGTATTTTTTATCTGTATATTTGAATAGTTAAAACAACAAATTAAATTCAAATATAACTCCAATCACAAGACAATCATACATCCTGGTATTTTTGGGGGTATTCTTGTGCTGCTGCAGGAATAATTTTCAAAACTATATTTAAATTTTGGCTGTATTGACTGTTTATGAACTTCAATGACAACTGGGAAAGTACCAGAATGTGTGGCTTTTAGAGGTTGTGCGTAATGCCTACATTGTTCATATGATTTTTCACAGGATGAAGATGGTAAAGATCTGTCTTTGGACAGTAAAGCACTTGACCCAACAATTCAGATCAAACTTCGAGATGCCGCCAAAGAATTAAACGAAGAAAAGAGAAAATCTGCCAGAAAACGAGAGTTTATAATGGCTGAGTTGCTGGACACTGAAAGAGCTTACGTCAGAGATTTGAAATGCTGCATCAAGGTACTGTTATCAAATTTGACCAGATTCATAGAAGTCAGGGTTGAGTTCTTATCGAACTGATGAGTACAGACAATTGAGTCTGTTAACTGGGGCCAGTATTCTGTGTTTTCTTGTCTTATTGAAGATATGCTTCTCATACGCTTCTCATGAAATATTTTATCTTTGACTGTTGTGTTTGTGTTGTTTCATTGAATTCTGATGCATAATGGCTGTATAATATATGACACATAACCAGATATGTCACTGTTTCTCATCTTCATTTGCATTTGTTTCTAAATTTTTCTTTGGTGATGTCAGACAAATATGACGTAACACTAGTTACATCGTTATTAATGGAATTGTATGAATGAAAAAGCCCTGGAAAAAATGAATTAAACAACCCATCCCCCCATTCCCCCTCCATGTAAAATACTATCTATGGCTGCACGGAAAGTACTTTTCCTTTTGAAGCCATTATGGAGTCTGCGTTCATAATATTAATTTTTATTTTTTAATCAGTGAATTACAAATTACTAACTGTGGATTGTTAAATTATTGATGATTTAAATAAGTTATATAAGTGACGATATATCACAACACTGTTTTGAAGATCAGAGTGTACACAGATTTTTGCCCTGACTGAAATTCTCTCACAAAATTCAAACACTTTATTGTTACAACTGAGGTGCTTTAAATATGTTTGTCCTTTTCCAGAGTTATTTATTTGAAATGCGTACATCTCCTGAAGCTCCAGAAGGTCTGAATGGCAAGGAAGATATAGTGTTTGGTAATATTGAAGAGATCTTTGAATTCCATGACAGGTAAGCCAACATTATTACTCTTAAATTCAAATTACCTTTCACAAAATAAATATTTTTATTTTGAAAGTTTTAAAATTTATTGTATGCTTGATTTTTAAAATATGATTTATTTTGACCACAGACATTCCTTCATTTAAATAAGCACATGCAATACTACTTGAGCAAATAGGGTATCCTCTGTTCAGGTGTCTTAAAAAACAGATTATTTCAAATTGCTTGTCTAAGTATGGGTTTGTCATTTCTTACACACGTTTGATTTGATTGGTACAACGATAACAATGTATTATTAATGTAAAAACTAAGATGTTTTCTATTTGCATTACAGTATCTTTCTGAGAGAATTAGAGAAATATGAAGTGTTCCCTGAAGACGTGGGTCATTGCTTTGTAACATGGGTAAGTAAGATTTGTTATACATATTAAAAGTTTCTACTGAAGCCTGAAAGTGTTACATCTTGTATGAAAAAACCGTAACTGCTCACTCCCTAGACCCTCACTGGTATCGTCAGGTTTATAGTCAGTTTTCTGTGCTTACATATCACATTATTTTATCTGCGTTTGATTTGATAAATTCCTGTCATGTTGATAGCATTATTTGTGTTCACCTTCACTCTAGGCTGATAAATTCAACATGTACGTGTCATACTGCAAGAACCACGCTGTCTCCAATAAGCTGCTGGTAGAACAAGCTGGTACATTTTTTGAGGTATGTTCACTTGTATTCTTTGGTGTTGTATGACTGGTGAATTCACAACTTTGTGCCAAGTGACAGTTCTTTCAGGATTTTGTCGTACCTCAAACTTGCCTCGCTGTGCTGTTGTAGATATTTGTATGGGTATTTTACTTATTATGACATTACTAGCTGGGAATGAGGATAAATGGCAGATTTGATGAAGTACTCAGACGAAAATATATCACATGACACTGTAACCTGCAGGTTTCTTGTCTCATTGAAAATGCACTTCTACTAGATCAAACATGATAGCGTTTTCTCATCTAATGTTTTGTCTTTGACTGTTGCGTTTGTGTTGTTTCATTGAATTCTGATGCAATATTGCCATTATAATATATGATGTATAACTATCGCCTCATTGAGTGCATTTCAACCATTGAAGTAAAGCTGCTCAAGGTTAACCCTGTTGAGATCAGAAAAAAAAAAAAAATGCAGCTATCGTGTTTGACTATGGGAAATATGGTGAACATGAACATGCATATAGGTATATGAATGCTTTGAAATATGGATGAAGTTGTTTTGTCTCCAAAAACAATTCATTAACCTTATCCTCTTTAATCTGAAATACTACAAAGTATTATACCAAAAACAGAAATCACTGTCTCATATTTAAGTGCTTTATATGCTTGCAAAGAACTGTATCTTCATAGTTGAGTGACAGAAAATAATTAATCCAAAACAATAGATTTACATTTTTGACCTCTAGAGGGCGTCCTTTATTTTTTGAAGTGTTGTAATAACATAATTTTTGATGTATTGCTCATTTTACAACCCAGGGTAGGATGACCTGGTTCATTTAATGACTCACTTTGATGGCTGTAAATTTTTTGAAACATGTGGTTTAAATCTCACTATTTTCATCTGCAATAAAATGATAATAAATCAGAACTCTGATAACCAGATTAAATATCGGTTTATGGTGTGTCAAATTGACGTTCATACATTTTGATCATTTTAAGCAAAGAGGCCATTATTTAGAAGAACGTAAAGGTGCAAGTCGATTGAAATTTCACCTAGGTTATCATTAACATCTTCACCGCGCTTTGTTTCTGTCGTCACATCCATCACAGAACTAGTTGGGTTATAGCAGTGATGGTGTGTTGATGCAGAAAATTCTTGTTCCAAGACTAATTTTGTTTTGTCATGGTTTGGATGTTATTTTCATGTGACAGAATATAAAGGGGACTACTTGGTGGATGGTTTAAAAGTTAAAATGTCAGTGAAAAACGTTGAAGTGATGCATTTACATTGGAAAAAAAAAATATTATTATGCCCTATCGGTAAACATAAACTGGTTATTTCAAATGATGCACAGGAAGTGACATCATTAAACCAATCAGAGAAGTCAAGTGGTGCATAGGAAGTGACATGTATAATCTAATCAGAGAATTAAGTAGTACACAGGAAGTGACATCATGATTGTACAAACCAATCAGAGAAGTGCTATGGCCTTACATGTACCGTGACTTGAATTCATTATTTGTTCATGGAATAAATTATTCTACTGAATGCTCAGTAATGTATCCTAAATGAGCTTTGATGCAAACATTTTTAATTAAAAGTATTCATTCTCTCTTTCATTGATTTGAAATTTTCATTCGAACTCTTTATCTTATTCGAATAAAAAAGTAAAAAAAAAAAATGTAGTATGTTTGTGTAATATAGAGCTTGGCACCAAGTCAGAGGAATTGAACGTGAAAGTCAACTTTTGTCACCAGGTGAAAAATAAAAACCTCATCATTTTCTCAAGATTTTTTTTTTAAACTCAATCAAGACTAGTTAGTCAATAGCAAATTATTATTTGGTCCAAAATTAACAAATACATGATGGAAAATTCCATACAAAGATGCACTGTTTTTATCAGAATTTTGGTGTGAAAAAATTACAGCATTCAAAATGTTTACAAATTTGTATTTTGGAAAAATTTGATGAGTTGTTTTGTACTGTGTACATTGAGTGAATTCTAATTCAAATTTGCATTGATTTGAATTCCTCCTGCAAATAAATAATTTTCCTATTTTTTTCATGACTTTATCCCAAAATGAATCCCTTTTACAATATAAATAATGCAGATCAAATTAATATATTTTCAATGTACCTACATTTATAAATGTCAAATGGGCAGATCATAAACTAAATAAAGTATTTTTCACGCACATTACCGCTCCATCTCATCACCTGTCAGTCATGGAGTATTCCATTATGCCACCCAGGGGGAGGCAGGTCTAGTTACAGGGGGTGAATCCTTCAAATACTTGTTGCTTCTAATGCCTATACTAAGTGAACCATTTTCCAGTTATTTGTCGGTGTCATAAATTATGCAAAATTATTTTCATAACATTAAATTGTGTCTAATATTTAATAATTTACGAGGCAGCATTTCTCTGAGACATTATGATTACCATTTGAGATATTACCTAAAAGACAAGTTCTAGCATCACCTTTGCCACAAAATAAAAAACAGAACAACACAACTATTTTATCGTCATTAATTTTCTCTTGAATATGACGGTGCAGTATCTTCTGTAATTTTTTCAACCCTTAGAGCGCCATTGTTCTAGTCTAGGTTTTGTCAACATTTGAATTATTTTTATTTTTTTTTCTAAAAATAAAATTATTTTGTAATTTTGTATTAAATACTTTTGATTCAAGTTGACATAATTTCTATTGGTTGCAAGTCTTGATCCAACATTTTGGTAAAAATGTTCAAAAAATTATGCGAGTTTCAATTTGTGAATTGTGACAAAAATTGACTTTGGCACTCACATTTTTCATTTTCTTGATTAAATTTGATTAAATTTGTTTTTCTGAAAGTTGACTTGGATGTAGAAATATAATACTCTTCCCAGGAAACCGCACAAGGCAAGGTTTTTTTCTTCTTCTGAAGATGCCCAGTTTTGACAATTCAAATAGAGATATTAACTTGATTTTCAACAAATTTAGAGCTCGAGATCTTGAAAAATAACTTGTATATCTTGTGACAAATACTTTCACGAGTCAACAGCAATACAGTTTTTTTTCTGTAACTCCATGCTACTATTTTAGAGCCAATTTTTTTATAATTTCTATAAATTTTCTCAAATTTTTGTGTATTTTTGGACAACAAAATGTCTGGTATGTCAGTACATGACCAGTTATTAAGATACGTTGTGAGAAGTGTTAACTGCAAAAAGGGTATAGGTAATAAAAAAAGCTATAAACAACTTCTTTCTGCTTGCATAAATGTATGATTGATGTATGGGCTACCTGTGCATACCTGCCCACCCCTACAAATTAAATATGCAAAGACCCATTTCCAGCTGTCTCTATCAGAGCTCGATTTGTAGTTATTTATGTGCGTGTAAGACAAGGTATTTTGCGAAGGATTTTGTTCTCCTTAATTGGTAAGTTTCTCCTCTTATTAGCATTCAGTCTCATTTTTCGAAAAATCAAAAGTACAGTCATGACGTTCTCGTGAAATTTAATCGAAACTGCAATTTAGAATTCTTGATGTTTGCTTTCGGGAAGAGGCTGTTTTTTCTCTGAAGACGTTCATCCTTGATTCTGACAAATACCTAATGAAAGAAAATCAATTTCCCCTTGTTGGATTTCTCTGCGTTCTTTTCTGGAGAATAGAAACTGACATTGTGGGGCCCCACATGCTTATTTCTCGCAACCTCATGTACATTTCGTAAATGTCTTAAATCTTGAAATACATTTTCCGTGGATTTTATTTATCGTGATCGTAAAACGACTGTACGGATTGTTCCTCATGTCCTATAATAATTTAATTCATGCTGCCACCCCCTTTTTTCTGTTTTTCCTGACAGTGTTGTAGCTCTCATTTTTGTAGGATATAAAGCAGACAGCTCTGTCGTCATTATACCTAATTGATTCGTGACCAAAAAAATATAACCCTGCTGCTCTCTAATTTGTTAATGAAATGCGCCTTCTTCATTTTAATCTACGTTTTCAAATAATAAATAATTGTTGCTATTTGCGAGAGTTCTCTCACCACGCTACTTTTTTTTCACCTATCGTCTAAATATACAAGTGGTTTACCTTTTTGCTACTCGATATTAGCAACATAATCATCTGTGGATGACGACCGTGGGATTGAATTAATGGTTCTTCTTGGAAGTAATTTGAGGCCAAGAGTAAAATTGAACATATGGGTCCGGTAGCTGTCGTCGTATTTTGTGATTCAAACTGAACGAAATCGACTGTGTTTCAGGAATTGAATATATAATATGCTTATCATTTCATTATCATATTTTGAATTATTCTCTTGGGTACTGTAGTGTAAATTATGCGTCATTTATTGATAACAGTTTTTCACTTTTTAGTTCATCTATAAATAAACGTCACGCAATTTTTTTTTTTCAAAAACCTAATTGCTGAAATTTTTTCAATTCAGAAGGTGGCTATGTTTTTAATATGAAAATTAAGTAATGGTAGACCTTTCTTTAGAAAAGATAACCATTTTAATCAGAAAAAGAAAAATTCCTGAACTGACTCTTCTTTCATTTATATCTTATTCATGAACTTGTACTTCCTATCTCGTTTAAAGATAAGACTGATTATTATGTACATTTCTGTCGCTTTTCATTTTGGATTTGCCCTTAGCGGTTAAAACTGATGACCTTATATGACCGAGACAAAAGTAAATTTATCAAAATTTAAATAAATTGTTGAACAGAATATTGCTGCTCAATGAATTTCTGAATCTGTGTTGCCGACCTTGATCAGCAGCTAGCGAAAGACTTAACAGCTGAATATTTTTTAAATGTGCTAACAAAGGATGAAATATTCTCACCTGTGTCTTGTGTATATAAATCCCAACAGTAGATTGCTAAATACAGAGCTGCTTGACCCAGCGTAATTTTATTGATGATCATCTCAGTATTTAACCTAATTTACGCAATCATGTATTTATTTCACCTTTCTATATTTGTGCTTTCATCTCCTTCGTAGTTCTCACCATTTCACACAAT